AACACAATGTGTCAAGACATATGATTAAATCTAGAGGATCAGGCAACATAAAATCACAAAACAACACATTTTCTAATTTTTCCCAATTACACTCAGATATTTTTAGTGTTATGTGCCGAAGTTTACAGATACTATCTGACTAAACATTGGCTGGCAACTTATTGTAATAGACTTTTATTCAGTTTGTTTCCTCAAATGTTTTGAAAACCAAATTAATTGAAAAATAAAGTTTAGTTCAAATGTAAAGTTTATATTTATCTGGACTGTAGTGTGTAAAAAAATCACAGCTAAGGCATAAACAAATAAATCTGTATGCGATGCAACAGTTCACATTTTGAACTTTAGAAGTGACAAAGTCCACAGTATGTTAGTTAATAAGAAATAGAAACACCTCTTATCTCGTGACTTTTTATTTTTGTTTTTATTTACTTATTTATTGTTCTTTCTGTCTCTGAACCTTAGGGGGAGTGAGTTTTTTTTTTTTCATTGTTTATGTTCTGTACTATGGATGTGTGTAAGCTGTGTGTGTCTGTTCAAAAATGTGAAAACTAGAAAATAAAGTATAAAAAAATCCAAAAGAAAGAGAAACACGACTCTAACTAAAAATCTAAATACACAGCTGGCAAACACTGTTTGCACACATAATTGACAGTTATTTCAAGTATGTGAGGCTGGTTTCTTTAAGAACTGGCTTGATGACATTCTCAGGCAGAGCACTCATGGTGATGCTGTTTGACCAGGAAGTCAACACTGATTTTCCGTCATATTGTCTCACATGTTCTGCATCTCTATTCTTCAAATAGTGACTGTTTTTGTCTTATATTTTCAAAATTTCAAACCAGGTTTATCCCATAATTAACCCTTGATATATGTTTCTTTTTCTGATGTTTTACAGATACTGAAGTGTGTATTTTAAAGGAGAGTTGCATCTTACCCTGCAGTTTTAAACAAGGTGAAAAAGTACTGGTCCACTGGAACCAGATAAAGGGAAACACTCTTGTCCACTCCTACTTTTATAATTAGGACCAGTTGGGACGTCAGGACCAGCGCTTCAAAGGCAGGACATCGCTGTTTCAAGACCAGATCTCCAAAGGAAACGCCTCACTCAGGCTGACAGGGGTGAAGCTTGAAGACCAGGGCAGTTACAAGTGCTACACCAGCACCACCAATGGCAACAAGGAGTCATTTGTCGACCTAAACTTGGAAGGTATGACATCCATGGTTGATGCAGAAACATCAAACAACAGCAAGAATTGCCTTGTATAGATCAACCACAACATTATGACCACATGTGCAATCTAGTGCAATCAAAATCAGGTCTACCATAAGTTCTTCTTTAAAAAGCTTCTACATTGGTTGACATGGTCAGACAGGTGAACATTTTACTTTCTATTTATAATTGAGGTCATACTAGGTGGTGTAATGGAGTGCATTATATTTAAATATGTTCCTAAAATTTGGTCCCCACTTGAATGTTAATTGGGTGGTCAAAATATTTGAAAATATTCAATTTAACTCAGCACCACTACCTGCTATGACTTCAGTATTATAAACAAAGTACAATTATCACCTTTCTGACCATGTCAGCAAAAACTGAAAATGTAGAAGCTTCTTAAAAGTAGAAATTATGGTTGAACTGTTTCATTGGATTGCAATAGATCATTATCTTTTGACTGATTGGTGTATATTTACATTGCAATAACTACTGTAGTCAACCTAAATGATCATTTAAACTTCATTCTGGCTGTACATGTCTTGCACACACACCTTTGCCTTCATTTAGTAGGACTGGATGTTTAAATCTAATGATGTACCAGAATGGTTTCAAATTTGATGTTTTCTAACAATTAGATGTTTTCTCTCTGTAACAATAGATCATAACTTTAATATTTAGCATGAACCTTAGCTTGACATTCAAAAAGCTGATATGTTGCTAGATATAGTAAACATTGATACTTATGGCTAGCTCTGAAAAGGAAAACTTCCAAGTTTAAGATAACCATCACCTGGCCTGTTACACAGTGAAGTTGAGTAGACTAGTTTGTTAATCTGTTTTGACATTTTTCTACGAACCTGTTTGTTTTTTTGGAGCGGCAACATAAGTAACAAAGAGACTAACAGGACCGCTATAAAGAAAGTATTTTACATCATAAATGTATTGAGTTCTATCACAGAGTAAATGCTAAATACACAACATGGATTTAGTGAAACCTTATTTTCTCCATGCCACAATCTGTAGAGCTCTGTAAGATAAAACAAACATTAGTGAATAACCTTCTACTCCCAGCTACAGGAAACTGATACCATTTTAATGGAAGGCTGTGTTGAAGATCATCTGGGTGATAAGGACGCTTGTCCAGTAAATGTGGTCTCTGAGCTTGTGGGAAATTAACAGTGATAGTTAGAAAAGAACTGAAAATAATCAACAGCTTTCAGTGAGGAAATAGTTTTTTTAATATCTGTGTTTCCTCACTTGTTGAATACTGTAAAACTACAATTCAAACTAAAAAAAAAGAATTGACAAAATTGACTGTGCATGGAAGAACAAGCATTTGCACAAACAAAGCTTAAATCTTTTGTTATTTATATTTGTGTAATGGAATGTAATATTATGGAAATACTGCCGGATGGAAGGCAGTAAAAAGTATGATTAGCACATGATTGTTTTATTTGGCATGATGGGAGAACAAAGTCCTGTTGTAAATGTTGCTACTTTCATTCAGTTATAAATGAATGTTCTCTTTCCCTTGACATTATATTAACTCTTAACTTATATTAACTTAGTTTTCTGGTAAAGACAGAACAAGAAAATTGACAGATTGCTTTTGTCTAAGACATAAAAATTCAAACTTTCAATAGTTTTCAAAAATGGAATAAAAAATGAGTAGCAGAAGAACAGAATCTTAATCAATTCAATGTAAGTCTAAAAAGCTCCCAAAGAGACCTGAATGAGTCATCACCAGGTCTCCCACATCACAATTTTAAATACATGTTCCAAAATGTTTATTTTTTTCACAGCTCCACCCAGTAAAGTTGGAATTCAGCAGGTAGGAAACAGAATCACCTGCAGCTCAGAGGAGATCTACCCTCAGCCTGAGCTCACCTGGTCCTCCAGTCCTCCAACCAATCTGACTGTAGCAGACACACCAACTGTCCATCAGAAAGAGAAGCTCTACAGCATCAGTAGCTCTCTGATAGTTCAAGTCGGTGTGATTGATCTGGACTACAGCTGCACCATCAGCGCTGGCAGAAACAAGAGGAGAGCAACTTTGTTTAAACCAGGTACGTGTTTCAAAGAAAACTTCTGGTCACTGCATGGGGTCCTTCAGGCTGCCTTAAACAGCTGATATGAAAAGTTCACATTGACATCAACAAAATCCTTACAAATAAACTTTGTCATTGTGTGTAATTCTTGTGTTTTGTCTTTCAGCTTCCATCAATATTTCAGACACTAAAACACAATCCCCTGCATTCTTCAAACACTCACTTTAAAAGCCTCATTTGGACATTCAACACAATCAAAACATCCTGATCCAGACCTCCGCCGAAGTCCCCTTTAAAGTTTCAGAGGAGTGGAGGAAGCACGTGAAGGATGTGTCTGAGTCAGGAAGCCTCGTGTTACAAGACTTAACATCACTTCAGGAGGGAATATACACATGTGAACTTAGTACTGCTGAAGAGACTCATGAAAGGAGCACAGCGTTGAGGATAGAAGAAAGTCAAAGTAAGTAGCACCTCTACAAAAGAACAGTTCATCTGAATATCTGGTTACTTGGTTATATTACAGCTCCTGCAGTCCACATGTTCAAGTGTCCTTAAAGAAGACACTGAATCTCAAAATGCCCCTGATGGCATAGCTTTGAGCGAGAGAAAGATGAATGAACTGAATCTTTTTTCTTTTTCAGGCACTCCTGATGTTGCAGGAATTACAGTTGGGGTTATATTCCTTGTATTGGTTGTATTAGCCATTTGCATCTTCGTCATATATAAGTGGTTTAAAAAGGTAAATAACACTACTACAACTACCTCTTCTACTAAAAATTAAGTACCTGTTGTTTGTACTAATGCTGATGTCTTGTGAACTCAGAAAAAAGGTGGTGAAAACAACAGAGAACCAGAAGCTGAAATCCCATTAAAGTAAGTTAACTTTATGGTTAAAAAATAAGATAAGTAAATGAAGTGAGGATATAAGCAAGAACAAATCCCTAAAAATAAATGTTGTCATGCTTTGGTAGTTAATGTTTTCTACAGAAGTCATTTATGATGAAAAAGAATACATGCTGGTTGTTTGAGCTCGATGTTCTTCAGAACTTGATTCTGTTCAATTTTGTTTGCAGGGAAAATGGTGAACGAAAAAATAATACATTTCTAGACCGTGGAACAACAACAGTCAGCCATGATGAAGAACAAGACCACAGTTGATGAATGTACGCAAATATTTATTAGAGTAAGTGGTATCAAATGAACAGTTGCTAAAAGGATCCCGAACGAAGGATTTAACATCGGGATGTATGAATGTGCTGGGATTAGATGAACAAAAAGTTCCCACATGAGTAGGTACATGTCTAACAGCAAATATGTCAAGTGTTGCTGTTGGTCTGGGGACAGACACTTGGTTTTAAAGATCTCTGCTGGATTAAAGTTGGTTGCAAGATGCAACTGGTTTCTTGGTTTCATTTCTACATTTCCCTGATGCCCAGCCACCACCATCGGACTGTGTTGTCCCTCAACCACCGCCGTCCTCATTCATGCACGGCCTGCTCCGACCTCCACCTCAGCAGCAAGGAAGTGTGGACAACAGGAACGTGAGGAATACAAAGAAGAAATCCTTCCTGCATCTTATCCCATAAACTCTTTTATGAAGTGCCTCAAGATAACACTTGCTATGAATTAGCACTATACAAATAATGATTGATTGATGACTGATTTATAGAGCAATTGCACCACAGTGGACAGCTTGATAGAGCTTTCAGTCTCACTCAGTGCACAATACTGATTAAACAACAACGTGAAAGCTAAATCTGGTTTGAATTGTTGCATGAAAGTGAGCAGGAAGATATGTTTGATGATGGAGAATAGTTTTCATGCAATTACTTGAAGGGATGACAAAGAGACAAATGTTTTTATGAAAAACTGTGTTCATGAGTTTTATTTTGTGAAAGCATATTTATTTAAATCTGTGTTGGTAGTCATTTTTTTATGTTTGATAAAGATGATGAAGTGATTTTTTTTAACAAGGGGTTTGAAAACATTGTGTATTTGTGAAACGTGCAGAGCCAGCGTAAAAATAAATAAAGTAGAAGTGCACCTTAACCTGTGCAGGAAGGTTCAAATCTACTCCTTCTACATATATTTATTTGATAAAATAAAATGTTTAAAACTATAGAATTAAGCTCGTATTTGTTCATTCCATAACCTGGTATCAACCCTTTTCAGTAAAGACATGGTTGTTTCTAATATATCCACCTGTTTCACTTTCATATACATATCCTTAAGGTGGAGCTGCCTCCTGAGTCCTGAACTTGAAATTCCTACTTGGATTTACGGGAAAGGTATTTTTAGCACAAGGGACTGGTCTATAAACAGAAAATGCCTTTCTGTCAGTGTTTGGATGGGATTATCAAAACACCTGTTGGATAGTCATTAACTAAACCCAAAGGTGACACCTGCTGGAGAAATTTGTGTCTTACACTTAACAACTCCTAAACATGGCTCTGTAGTCTATATAAGACAGAGGGATAATGGACATTCATATCTGGCCAGGAATCAGGTTTTCCGTATTTCATTAATGTTTTTTTATTTTTACTTTAGCTTTGGTTGACTGTAAAAAGATCACTCTGTGTTTGTCGAAACTGTTTGTAGTCAGTCACACGTCAGCGGCATGTATTCACAGTGAGGTCACTCCATTGGCACAGGATTGGCTGAGGAGTTATAGGCCTACTACTTGGAGAACATCGCCAAGACAGAATTACTGAAAACCAGAGACGCCCCTTTTCAGCTTAATTAAAGAAGTCTACTACTTCCTATTGGTTCCTGTCAACAGTAGGTGCTTTGTTTGTAAATGCTGGATTAATCCTGTCCGACAGTAAATAAATACAGCTATGCAGTACTAACCCTTTGGTAATAACCATAGACTGTAAATATTGGTAATAACACAACATTTAAATATTTATTTTCATGTTCTATTTTTGAGGCAGTGTGCTTTTCTTTCCTTTTAAAAAAAATTAAAAATATATTTTACCTCCTGTAAAGCAGTGACGATGTTCAGGTATCATGAACCAGGAGAAACAAACAAGCCAGCTGTCAGGGCCAGATAGGGCTGAAGTCATCATCATTAGAGTCCACTTCCTGAAATGTAATATGTATTTTGTCAAAACAAATGTAGAGCTAGACAGCAACACTGTTTATAGTATTGTCTGGCAGTGGTCACATACATTTCTGCTATAAACTTAATCTAGCAGTTTACAAAAATGAATAGGCTATGTGTAACCTGAAGGCAGGTACAGCAGGATTCTCTGAAAAATTACCCACATTACACGTGAACAGAGAACACTTTTACCACCACAAAATGTAAAGATAAATTCAAATTATAATACTACTACATACTATCTGTATATCTGCTGATTAATTTAAGATCTTGCTTACTGCCTGAGCATAAAAAAACACTGTTTAAGTCAAAGTGAACGGTATGATCTCAAAGTCTGAAATTGGAATCTGTCAAAAATAATTACTCAAGACAACACTAATAAATTGTGCTAACAGTTTTATCACATCAGATTTACCTACATTTCTAATGTTACTCGCCAAAGTTAACCTACACCTGATCCAACTGGTTTGCTCCCAGCAGATCAACATATCCCAGACCAGCATATACATTAAAAATAACATTTTCTTTGTTCATCACGGTCTGCTTCCTTTAATTATAATCACACCATTGTTTTTCCATTCCAAAAGCTCCTATCTAAGCTTTAAGTTAAGTGACTCATTGATATTTTAAAACACTTTCTTGCGTACCTCTTCAGACGACTTTAGGCCAAGTTTGACCAACATCAATGGTTGAGCTGAATTCCTGTGTGCTAGCAATAGCCTTAACCTTTGAACAGGTTCAGCACAAGAAAACTCTTCATAATTTAAGGTGAAACGTTGAAACCTAACCACAAACTTGGTAGACATAATAACGATACTTACTACTTTCACCAGGCTCCGATTGACTTCAAATCACTATTAATGGGGTCAGCCCCTATGGTCCCACAGCCCAATGTTCCTACATTTCTAAGAATTTGTTTTTCACTGAAAATGAGGCCCTATGTTCCCACATTTCTACATTTTTTCTCAAAATTAGGCCCTATGTTCCCACATTTCTACATTTTTTAAACAAAGAGATGGGCGCACCAGATTTTTTTAAAAGCTACTGTGTTCTTCACCGGAATCATCACCTGTGAGGTTTAAAGTAGCTTTTAACACAGACTCAGAATACAGAATAGGCTTTTGCTGTTGGATGGATATTCTCCCACTGGGAGGAGCACGTGAACAGCAAGTGAACAGCCAGGTCAGGAGAATATCTGCTTGGTACCAAACAAAGTCACACCAAGTATTCCAAACATTTCCTGTTTCCAGGCATTGTGTAATCCTTTCCTCCCTGAGAGTAGGCTAATTTACAAATCTAAGGCAAGTCAGCTCATGTGGGAGTGTCTCTTTCTGCTGCAATGACCTCTCTCCCGTAGGCTACACATAGACTGTAAATATTAGCGGTGCGGAAAGAAGAGTACGACGTATCAAAGAAGATGAGTGGGATAAAACGTGTCACGTTTTTTTATGTTCTTTTTTATCTAAAAGGATTTGCAAAAGGAGGTGAGTGAGGCTTTGTTATTTCAGCGTAAACATAAACCAGAGATTGAACTTTGTATACAGGAACGTTTGAATAAAGTTCTGTTGGTTTTCATGCAATGTTTGGCTGAACAGAGCTATGCCAAAGTTTATGAAGACTGGCCTAATTCATTCCTAGCAGTTTTAAGCAAGAGTATGAAACATTTGCTAAAACAAGATGGACTCTAATCTTTTCTGTGAAGTTCAACTTTAACACACATCTGTGATATATTTGAACTAATATGAGCAACAAAGCTGTCTTCTTCTGGGGGGAAATGTCAAGTGACTGCCACCTTTATTAAAAATCTGGAGCTGCTAACATAAGGTTGTTGGTTCTGTGCGGTGATTCAACACATTATGGAGAAGAAAGTGTATGACAGCAGAACAAATCCTGGATTCCAAAAACATTGTTATTAGGACTCAGATACAAAGGAAGAAAAGTGTGTCATAAGTGGCCTGAAACCATACAAAACACATCTGGTGACATTCTAGCACTCACTCACACACACAAATGCACCCACAGTACCACACACAAAGATGACATCAATCCAAAGTTTACAATTACTTTGTTACGTTTAGAGAAAAATGCATGCCATCTTGTCAGATTGGTGTGAGTCAATGAAACAGGGTGTAACCAGAGAAAAACACTTCTGGCCGAGCCTGCTTTACAAGCCACAGCTGGCAAAGGTTTCATGTTTTAAATTCCTTAAGAAGTATAATCTTTTGTCAACTTGAGAAAGACAAACATGAGAAAGTTCTATCTTATCATCTCTTTGAGATTTCTCCCGCTGACAGAGACGGCAACAGACCATTAAACTCATCCTATGAGACAGAATAGTGCACAAGCATTACTCTCCAGTGATCAGGAAAATCTTTCTCTTGCACATGCAGACTTTTCTTGCGAGCACCAGAAACCATCTTGTGCGCATGCAGAACCCTCTCCTAGGAACACAAAACTCTCTTGTAGTCACTGGATATTTCCTTGTTTACTGTGAGCACCTGAACCTTTTTCTGCCTATGCCCCCTAAGGGGCTCTGTAATTGGTCATATTCCTCCAGCTTAACTCATTCAACCTGCAGCTTGTGAATATTATTATCATAATAGTTACTAGTAGTACCAGATGACATTAAATTGATCAACCAGTGTGTCTTCAAGGGGGCTGTAGCATCCAAAGAGGAACTTTGTCGACCTACATGAGGTATATGAGACTTTTAAATGTCAGTTAAAAAACATACGAGTCTTACCCAAGTCAGAAAATAAAAATACTCAAAATCATTACAAATTGTAAAGGTAGCATTGCTAAATTACATCTTATATTTCATATTTGCAGTGGAAACTGTCTTAACTGTTGTTTGTCATGACAAATGCCGACATGTTCAAACTTTTGTTGATTTATGTTGTTTACATTTCTGCAACGCCAGAATGTTTATGGAATGGCAGCATAAACTCAAGAAAATAAATCTATCAACATGAAAGCTGAGACGCAGAGGAAGAAGCCACTGATTAGAGAGGCTTTCGTTTCTACACAATTTTTCAAAAGTTAGGCTGTAATTGACTGAAAGATATTTCTTAGGGGTTATATCATTGAAAAACACTTTTATAACCACTATTGTACTATTTTTTAAATAAAAGCACCATCATGTTTCACTGTTGTTTTGAGCCGTTTTCAATGCTTCCAAAGAGTGCATCGAAGTTAACAAAAACAAAACTGTAAATTTGAACGAAAAGGTCACTTCTTAGACTGACTTTTGCGTGGATTAATAACTGACTTTATGTCCTACTAACTGCATTGTCATGCTTCATTTGAACCTTCACTGATAAAAATGAACAAAGGCCAAACTGTGTCCTGTCTGGATTAAGAAAAAACAGGTTCAGAGTTCTACTCACACCACACAGAAATTCAGAACAAAGCTGTACACTCTTAGAAATTCCCCCTGTAAAAAAAACCGTAAACAACTGGCAGTAGGGTTGCCAGGAAGTTACTGTAAAATTAACGGTATATTGCTGTCGCTGAAATTTACAGTTACAATAGTACAAAGTTGGGTTAAATAGGCAAGAATTTCAAAAATAAAAATATTTACAAAAATATATACTTTAAGGCATCTAACAGAGGCAAATTCCATTTAAATTCGAACATTTAAATTCAAGTATCAGCAAGAACATTATAACACAAACAATAAATATCAAAAAATCTGGTTGTAAAAAAAATTGTAAACTGTGTGTGTCTGTCTGTCTGTGTGTGTGCACGCTTGTGTGTGTCTGTGTGTGTGTGTGTGTGTGTGTGTGTGTGTGTGTGTGTGTGTGTGTGTGTGTGTCTGTGTCTGTGTGTGTGTCTGTGTGTGTGTGTGTGTGTGTGTGTGTGTGTGTGTGTCTGTGTGTGTGTGTGTGTCTGTGTGTGTGTGTGTCTGTGTGTGTGTGTGTGTCTGTGTCTGTGTGTGTGTCTGTGTGTGTGTGTGTGTGTGTGTGTGTGTGTGTGTGTGTGTGTCTGTGTGTGTGTGTGTGTCTGTGTCTGTGTGTGTGTGTGTGTGTGTGTGTGTGTGTGTGTGTGTGTGTGTGTCTGTGTCTGTGTGTGTGTGTGTGGGTGTGTGTGTGTGTGTGTGTGTGTGTATGTGTCTGTGTGTGTGTCTGTGTCTGTGTCTCTGACTACATGAAGTCCCATTCGAAGTCCATTAGTCTTTTTAGGAGACTTGAGACTGGAGGGCTGACAGAAGCTCTTTTTTTGACCTTCCCTTTGCCCCGTGCAGCCTTTGTTCCCCGCTCAGGGTTGATCCCGATGAACCGCCTGAAAAACAAGAGTGTGTGTTCAGAGTTGGTGCTGAAAGAAATATTGCACTGTAATTATATACATGTATATTGAACTTCTTGCTAATTTGTTCTTTAGTTTTCTTGATATTCCATATTGTAGTTGATTTACTGAACCCCGCCGGGGTATGAATTGAATGTGATTATTAAATTGAGTCTGAACCAAACTGTGGATTTGGAGAATCGTTACTCCCCTACATATAAGGTTACTGTCTAAAACTTTGTTGAAGAAAATAAGCATGTCAATAGGCTCAGGGGTGAGATGTGAGTGCAGTCTGGTTACAGTCAGTCCAGGGGCAGAAAACAGCTGCTCTGAAGTAACTGAAGTTGCAATGTGCAGAGGTTTGCCAGCCTTTGATACCAAGGTCTGATAAATCAAATTTCATGTGATTGACGAAAGTCTTAAACATCATAATGGATCAGCAATTAATCATTCCCATCCCTAATTTAAGCATCTAACCTTTGAATGCACTCCAGGGTGGCTGCCGCACCATCGTCATACTGCAGATTAAATATATAAAATGTGGAAAAGAGAGCAGCTAGCCCGGAGACGAAAGATGGCCGGATGCCTTCGCAGATTATGTGCCCCTCGATGCTGATCATCCAGCCGTGACTGCAGCGACCTGGTGGTTCGCCTGAAACTAGACAAAAAAAAAAAAACACAGAGCAACCACGCTCTTAATCAACCTCTTGTTTAGCTTAAGCAAACACACTCTTCTAATTGTGGAAACAGGATAGGAGACACTGTATGCAGTGAGAGGAGAGCAAGAACGTTGCCGTCACTGATACAATACTCACAAGGCTACAAGTGAAGGGCTTAGCCCTTAGTTTAGGCTACTGCATAACAGTAGTGAGCTGATCGTGAAAGATGAAAAAGGAAACGACTCGAGATGACACAAGAGGTAAAATACCTTCTGCTGTCACATCATTTGTGTTAATTATCTAAATTGGTATAAATACTTGACCCGAGTTTGAGCGAGAGGAAAGATATCTAGAGCTAATGCGGTCAGAGGATGAAATAGGACTAACACAATAACAGTTTTTTTATGTGTTTTGAAGTGATGAAAAGTTAAGAAAAACACTTGGTGAATTACAAGAAACACTTTGGTGGCTCATCTAAACGTAAAGAATAAGAATAAGAATATTATATACATAACACGGAGTATCAGCCGAGGAGTTGCAGGAAGTGAGAGGGTTCTCTCCATATCAGCTGCTGTGGCGGAATAATAAACAGAAAACGTAACTTACATTTGCAATTAGGATCAACCCTTCTGAATGCTCAGAGAAGTGAGCCATCAAAAGCTGGATCACACAGAATGACAGCTCAAGGTTTGGACCACATAAGAGGGCGGCCTGTACATCTGCATTGGTGGGTTTCTGCTTGAAGAACTCCACAATGGCTCTGCCACACTCCTCCATGGCAAGCTCGAGTGCACGCAGCACTTTGATGTCAGTAAGAAGTTCAAAATGAGCATAAAGACCTTTCTGAGTGAAAAGGTATGGCCATTTCTCTCTTAGATCTGTGAGGGTTGGTGCTGGTAATGCATTCATTTGGCAGCGCTGCAGGCGGAAGGTGGTTTCCATGAGTTGCTTTACTTCTGCTCTTTCAACCCCATTTACACCATCTCGATGGTATATCTCCTCCAACCGCTGACGTTTCTGCTCTACTGTTCGCTCTGTCTCTTCTGGTGGAAGGTCAGGCTGGTATCTGGCGCAGCCGTATGTATCAGTAGGCCTTCTCTTTAGTCCATCACCTGATGAACGGTGCTGCCTAAAGCTGCTGTTGCAGTTCAGATTTTCAATTCTGTTCTTTAGTTGAATTATGAGTGATGTGTAGCCATTTCCCAGTAGATTACCGTTGTTCTGCAGATCAGCAAAACTCTGAGGGTGCTGGCGAATAATTTTTTGGCAGACAGTGACGCACTGTGAGCGCGTTGGGTTTGCCTCGTGCCTCCTCACTTTGTCAGCCAAAACTCTGATCATCTGTCGCCGTGCAGCAGGTGGAGGTCTTTTGCCATTAGAAATGGCTGAATGGATTTCCACAGGCATGAGGTTCCATGGCACCTGGAATGTGTCTGGCCATGTTTTTCTGATGGTGGAGGGTGACCCACAGTCTTCTGCACCGCTAGATTCTGGATTTGAGAGCGAGAGTACACTTGATGGACTGGAGAAAGGAACTGGTGATGGACTGCTCACTTCTGGGCTGGGGTGTGACAGTGTTTGCAGTTCCAAACTGACCACCGTCGTCTCTGGAAATGGAAAAGATGAGAAAAAAAAGAGACAGGCATTTTAGATCAAAATCATTCTCTTGAACCATAAATTCTCACTGAAAAGACACTTTTCAAATAATTTCCAAGTTTCAAATAAGACGTGAAAACAACGTTTGTCACATAAACATTTTAGTTTGGAATTATTTGTAACCTCGTTTCTCTTTTTGATAAAAAATATTGTTTAAATTCTCTTTGGTCGTCTTTTCTAAAGAAAACTTTAGAAAAGTACACACTATGCGGGGTAAATTGTCACATTATATTTTTCAACAAATAATAACATGTATCACTCTTATTCTTGCATTTGAAAGTCAGATTTATTGAAACAGCTGTTTTCAATGCCAGGGCTTCATCAGTGTCAGTGCATAAAAAACGATGCAGACCAAAAAACCGAAAAAACTACAAATAGCCTAAACACAAACAAATTCATCTTGAACTATATCTTTTTTTTAAACTATTTTTTAAATTCTAATTCAACACGTTTAAATACATTTTTCAGTGACGTAACAGTGTCTTATATTTTTAAAATTTCAAACCAGGTTTATCCCATAACTAACCCTTGATATATGTTTCTTTTTCTGATGTTTTACAGATACTGAAGTGTGTATTTTAAAGGAGAGTTGCATCTTACCCTGCAGTTTTAAACAAGGTGATAAAGTACTGGTCCACTGGAACCAGATAAAGGGAAACACTCTTGTCCACTCCTACTTCTATGATAGGGACCAGTTGGAACGTCAAGGCGAGAGCTTCAAAGGCAGGACATCGCTGTTTCAAGACCAGATCTCCAAAGGAAACGCCTCACTCAGGCTGACAGGGGTGAAGCTTGAAGACCAGGGCAGATACAAGTGCTACACCAGCACCACCAACGGCAGCAATGACTCATTTGTTGACCTAAACTTGGAAGGTATGACATCCATGGTTAATGCAGAAACATCAAACAACAGCAAGAATTGCCTTGTATACAGATCAACCACAACATTATGACCACATGTGCAATCTAGTGCAATCAAAATCAGGTCTACCATAAGTTCTTCTTTAAAAAGCTTCTACATTGGTTGACATGGTCAGACCGGTGAACATTTTACTTTCTATTTATAATTGAGGTCATACTAGGTGGTGTTGGTGTAATGGAGTGCATTATATTTAAATATGTTCCTAAAATTTGGTCCCCACTTGAATGTTAATGGGGTGGTCAAAATATTTGAAAATATTCAATTTAACTCAGCACCACTACCTGCTATGACTTCAGTATTATAAACAAAGTACAATTATCACCTTTCTGACCATGTCAGCAAAAACTGAAAATGTAGAAGCTTCTTAAAAGTAGAAATTATGGTTGAACTGTTTTATTGGATTGCAATAGATCATTATCTTTTGACTGATTGGTGTATATTTACATTGCAATAACTACTGTAGTCAACCTAAATGATCATTTAAACTTCATTCTGGCTGTACATGTCTTGCACACACACCTTTGCCTTCATTTAGTAGGACTGGATGTTTAAATCTAATGATGCACCAGAATGGTTTCAAATTTGATGTTTTCTAACAATTAGATTTTTTCTCTCTGTAACAATAGATCATAACTTTAATATTTAGCATGAACCTTAGCTTTACATTCAAAAAGCTGATATGTTGCTAGATACAGTAAACCTTGGTACTTATCGCTAGCTCTGACAAGCTAAAGGAAAACTTCCAAGTTTAAGATAACCATCACCTGGCCTGTTACACAGTGAAGTTGAGTAGACTAGTTTGTTAATCTGTTTTGACATTTTTCTACGAACCTGTTTGTTTTTTTGGAGCGGCAACATAAGTAACAAAGAGACTAACAGGACCGCTATAAAGAAAGTATTTTACATCATAAATGTATTGAGTTCTATCACAGAGTAAATGCTAAATACACAACATGGATTTAGTGAAACCTTATTTTCTCCATGCCACAATCTGTAGAGCTCTGTAAGATAAAACAAACATAAGTAGTGAATAACCTTCTACTCCCAGCTACAGGAAACTGATACCATTTTAATGGAAGGCTGTGTTGAAGATCATCTGGGTGATAAGGACGCTTGTCCAGTAAATGTGGTCTCTGAGCTTGTGGGAAATTAACTGTGATAGTTAGAAAAGAACTGAAAATAATCAACAGCTTTCAGTGAGGAAATAGTTTTTTTAATATCTGTGTTTCCTCACTTGTTGAATACTGTAAAACTACAATTCAAACTAAAAAAAAAGAATTGACTGTGCATGGAAGAACAAGCATTTGCACAAATAAAGCTTAAATCTTTTGTTATTTATATTTGTATAATGGAATGTAATATTATGGAAATACTGCCGGATGGAAGGCAGTAAAAAGTATGATTAGCACATGATTGTTTTATTTGGCATGATGGGAGAACAAAGTCCTGTTGTAAATGTTGCTACTTTCATTCAGTTATAAATGAATGTTCTCTTTCCCTTGACATTATATTAACTCTTAACTTATATTAACTTAGTTTTCTGGTAAAGACAGAACAAGAAAATTGACAGATTGCTTTTGTCTAAGACATAAAAATTCAAACTTTCAATAGTTTTCAAAAATGGAATAAAAAATGAGTAGCAAAAGAACAGAATCTTAATCAATTCAATGTAAGTCTAAAAAGCTCCCAAAGAGACCTGAATGAGTCATCACCAGGTCTCCCACATCACAATTTTAAATACATGTTCCAAAATGTTTAACTTTTTCACAGCTCCACCCAGTAAAGTTGGAATTCAGCAGGTAGGAAACAGAATCACCTGCAGCTCAGAGGAGATCTACCCTCAGCCTGAGCTCACCTGGTCCTCCAGTCCTCCAACCAATCTGACTGTAGCAGACACACCAACTGTCCATCAGAAAGAGAAGCTCTACAGCATCAGTAGCTCTCTGATAGTTCAAGTCGGTGTGATTGATCTGGACTACAGCTGCACCATCAGCGCTGGCAGAAACAAGAGGAGAGCAACTTTGTTTAAACCAGGTACGTGTTTCAAAGAAAACTTCTGGTCACTGCATGGGGTCCTTCAGGCTGCCTTAAACAGCTGATATGAAAGTTCACATTGACATCAACAAAATCCTTACAAATAAACTTTGTCATTGTGTGTAATTCTTGTGTTTTGTCTTTCAGCTTCCATCAATATTTCAGACACTAAAAGCACAATCCCCTGCATTTCTTCAAACACTCACTTTAAAAGCCTCATTTGGACATTCAACCACAATCAAAACATCCTGATCCAGACCTCCGCCGAAGTCCCCTTTAAAGTTTCAGAGGAGTGGAGGAAGCACGTGAAGGATGTGTCTGAGTCAGGAAGCCTCGTGTTACAAGACTTAACATCACTTCAGGAGGGAATATACACATGTGAACTTAGTACTGCTGAAGAGACTCATGTATGGAGCACAGCGTTGAGGATAGAAGAAAGTCAAAGTAAGTAGCACCTCTACAAAAGAACAGTTCATCTGAATATCTGGTTACTTGGTTATATTACAGCTCCTGCAGTCCACACATTCAAGTGTCCTTAAAGAAGACACTGAATCTCAAAATGCCCCTGATGGCATAGCTTTGAGCGAGAGAAAGATGAATGAACTGAATCTCTTTTCTTTTTCAGGCACTCCTACTGTTGCAGGAATTACAGTTGGGGTTATATTCCTTTTGGTTGTATTAGCCATTTGCATCTTCGTCATATATAAGTGGTTTAAAAAGGTAAATAACACTACTACAACTACCTCTTCTACTAAAAATTAAGTACCTGTTGTTTGTACTAATGCTGATGTCTTGTGAACTCAGAAAAGTGAAGGTGGTGAAAACAACAGAGAACCAGAAGCTGAAATCCCATTAAAGTAAGTTAACTTTATGGCTTAAAAAACAAGATAAGTCAATGAAGTGAGGATATAAGCAAGAACAAATCCCTGAAAATAAATGTTGTCATGCTTTCTTTGATAGTTAATGTTTTCTACAGAAGTCATTTATGATGAAAAAGAATACATGCTGGTTGTTTGAGCTCGATGTTCTTCAGAACTTGATTCTGTTCAATTTTGTTTGCAGGTAAAATGGTGAACGAAAAACTAATACATTTCTAGACCGTGGAACAACAACAGTCAGCCATGATGAAGAACAAGACCACAGTTGATGAATGTACGCAAATATTTATTAGAGTAAGTGGTATCAAATGAACAGTTGCTAAAAGGATCCCGAACGAAGGATTTAACATCGGGATGTATGAATGTGCTGGGATTAGATGAACAAAAAGTTCCCACATGAGTAGGTACATGTCTAACAGCAAATATGTCAAGTGTTGCTGTTGGTCTGGGACAGACACTTGGTTTTAAAGATCTCTGCTGGATTAAAGTTGGTTGCAAGATGCAACTGGTTTCTTGGTTTCATTTCTACATTTCCCTGATGCCCAGCCACCACCATCGGACTGTGTTGTCCCTCAACCACCGCCGTCCTCATTCATGCACGGCCTGCTCCGACCTCCACCTCAGCAGCAAGGAAGTGTGGACAACAGGAACGTGAGGAATACAAAGAAGAAATCCTTCCTGCATCTTATCCCATAAACTCTTTTGTGAAAATAGCATTGCTAGAGCTTTTCAGTCTCACTCAGTGCACAATACTGATTAAACAACAACGTGAAAGCTAAATCTGGTTTGAATTGTTGCATGAAAGTGAGCAGGAAGATATGTTTGATGATGGAGAATAGTTTTCATGCAATTACTTGAAGGGATGACAAAGAGACAAATGTTTTTATGAAAAACTGTGTTCATGAGTTTTATTTTGTGAAAGCATATTTATTTAAATCTGTGTTGGTAGTCATTTTTTTATGTTTGATAAAGATGATGAAGTGATTTTTTTTAACAAGGGGTTTGAAAACATTGTGTATTTGTGAAACGTGCAGAGCCAGCGTAAAAATAAATAAAGTAGAAGTGCACCTTAACCTGTGCAGGAAGGTTCAAATCTACTCCTTCTACATATATTTATTTGATAAAATAAAATGTTTAAAACTATAGAATTAAGCTCGTATTTGTTCATTCCATAACCTGGTATCAACCCTTTTCAGTAAAGACATGGTTGTTTCTAATATATCCACCTGTTTCACTTTCATATACATATCCTTAAGGTGGAGCTGCCTCCTGAGTCCTGAACTTGAAATTCCTACTTGGATTTACGGGAAAGGTATTTTTAGCACAAGGGACTGGTCTATAAACAGAAAATGCCTTTCTGTCAGTGTTTGGACGGGATTATCAAAACACCTGTTGGATAGTCATGAACTGAACCCAAAGGTGACACCTGCTGGAGAAATTTGTGTCTTACACTTCACAACTCCTAAACATGGCTCTGTAGTCTATATAAGACAGAGGGATAATGGACATTCATATCTGGCCAGGAATCAGGTTTTCCGTATTTCATTAATGTTTTTTTATTTTTACTTTAGCTTTGGTTGACTGTAAAAAGATCACTCTGTGTTTGTCGAAACTGTTTGTAGTCAGTCACACGTCAGCGGCATGTATTCACAGTGAGGTCACTCCATTGGCACAGGATTGGCTGAGGAGTTATAGGCCTACTACTTGGAGAACATCGCCAAGACAGAATTACTGAAAACCAGAGCCGCCCATTTTCAGCTTAATTAAAGAAGTCTACTACTTCCTATTGGTTCCTGTCAACAGTAGGTGCTTTGTTTGTAAATGCTGGATTAATCCTGTCCGACAGTAAATAAATACAGCTATGCAGTACTAACCCTTTGGTAATAACCATAGACTGTAAATATTGGTAATAACACAACATTTAAATATTTATTTTCATGTTCTATTTTTGAGGCAGTGTGCTTTTCTTTCCTTTTAAAAAAAATTAAAAATATATTTTACCTCCTGTAAAGCAGTGACGATGTTCAGGTATCATGAACCAGGAGAAACAAACAAGCCAGCTGTCAGGGCCAGATAGGGCTGAAGTCATCATCATTAGAGTCCACTTCCTGAAATGTAATATGTATTTTGTCAAAACAAATGTAGAGCTAGACAGCAACACTGTTTATAGTATTGTCTGGCAGTGGTCACATACATTTCTGCTATAAACTTAATCTAGCAGTTTACAAAAATGAATAGGCTATGTGTAACCTGAAGGCAGGTACAGCAGGATTCTCTGAAAAATTACCCACATTACACGTGAACAGAGAACACTTTTACCACCACAAAATTTAAAGATAAATTCAAATTATAATACTACTACGTACTATCTGTATATCTGCAGATTAATTTAAGATCTTGCTTACTGCCTGAGCATAAAAAACACTGTTTCAGTCAAAGTGAACGGTATGATCTCAAAGTCTGAAATTGGAATCTGTCAAAAATAATTACTCAAGACAACGCTAATAAATTGTGCTGACAGTTTTATCACATCAGATTTACCTACATTTCTAATGTTACTCGCCAAAGTTAACCTACACCTGGTCCAACTGGTTTGCTCCCAGCAGATAAACACATCCCAGACCAGCATATACATTAAAAATAACATTTTCTTTGTTCATTACGGTCTGCTTCCTTTAATTATAATCACACCATTGTTTTTCCATTCCAAAAGCTCCTATCTAAGCTTTAAGTTAAGTGACTCATTGATATTTTAAAACACTTTCTTGCGTACCTCTTCAGACGACTTTAGGCCAAGTTTGACCAACATCAATGGTTGAGCTGAATTCCTGTGTGCTAGCAATAGCCTTAACCTTTGAACAGGTTCAGCACAAGAAAACTCTTCATAATTTAAGGTGAAACGTTGAAACCTAACCACAAACTTGGTAGGCATAATAACATACTTACTACTTTCACCAGGCTCCAATTGACTTCAAATCACTATTAATGGGGTCAGCCCCTATGGTCCCACAGCCCAATGTTCCTACATTTCTAAGAATTTGTTTTTCACTGAAAATAAGGCCCTATGTTCCCACATTTCTACAATTTTTCTCAAAATTAGGCCCTGTGTTCCCACAGCCCTATGTTCCCACATTTCTAAGAATTTTTTTTTCACTGAAAATTAGGCCCTATGTTCCCACAGCCCTTTGTTCCCAAATTTCTAGGACATTTTCAAAATTAGGTCTTGTGTTCCTACATTTCCCTTCAATTTAAGCCAGCGCAGTAGACTTGATGACACTGACAGGTTGACACAGAGGAGTTTTCAAATAGGCATCCTCCTTCCTTAACGTTTCCTCCATGAGCCTATGACGCCTCCAGAGGGCTGGTAAGTGACTCCAAGCATCCCAGGAGCACCCCCTCTCCCCCTCCGACTTTCCAGAGGTATTGATGCACTGCAAACTATGGTTTGCGTCCAGTTGCTGCGCTTCATTCGACTGATCTGAGCGGAAGCTGTCAATACGAGGCCTCTGTGCTACTTAGTTCAGTTTGTTTATTTAAAAGGACAATGTGCACTTACATTAAATGTTTGCAATAAACAAAGAGATGGGCACACCAGATTTATCTAAAAGCTACTGTGTTCTTCACCGGAATCATCACCTGTGAGGTTTAAAGTAGCTTTTAACACAGACTCAGAATACAGAATAGGCTTTTGCTGTTGGATGGATATTCTCCCACTGGGAGGAGCAAGTGAACAGCCAGGTCAGGAGAATATCTGCTTGATACCACCCAAAGTCGCACTAAGGGGATAAGTATTCCAAACATTTCCTGTTTCCGGGCATTGTGTGATCCTTTCCTCCCTGAGAGTAGGCTAATTTACAAATCTAAGGCAAGTCAGCTCATGTGGGAGTCTCTCTTTCTGCTGCAATGACCTCTCTCCCGTAGGCTACACATAGACTGTAAATATTAGCGGTGCGGAAAGAAGAGTACGACGTATCAAAGAAGATGAGTGGGATAAAACGTGTCACGTTTTTTTATGTTCTTTTTTATCTAAAAGGATTTGCAAAAGGAGGTGAGTGAGGCTTTGTTATTTCAGTGTAAACATAAACCAGAGATTGAACTTTGTATACAGGAACGTTTGAATTAAGTTCTGTTGGTTTTCATGCAATGTTTGGCTGAACAGAGCTATGCCAAAGTTTATGAAGACTGGCCTAATTCATTCCTAGCAGTTTTAAGCAAGAGTATGAAACATTAGCTAAAACAAGATGGACTCTAATCTTTTCTGTGAAGTTCAACTTTAACACAAATCTGTGATATATTTGAACTAATATGAGCAACAAAGCTGTCTTCTTCTGGGGGGAAATGTCAAGTGACTGCCACCTTTATTAAAAATCTGGAGCTGCTAACATAAGGTTGTTGGCTCTGTGCGGTGATTCAACACATTATGGAGAAGAAAGTGTATGACAGCAGAACAAATCCTGGATTCCAAAAACGTTGTTATTAGGACTCAGATACAAAGGAAGAAAAGTGTGTCATAAGTGGCCTGAAACCATACAAAACACATCTGGTGACATTCTAGCACTCACTCACAAACACAAATGCACCCACAGTACCACACAAAAAGATGACATCAATCCAAAGTTTACAATTACTTTGTTACGTTTAGAGAAAAATGCATGCCATCTTGTCAGATTGGTGTGAGTCAATGAAACAGGGTGTAACCAGAGAAAAACACTTCTGGCCGAGCCTGCTTTAAACATAAACATTTTAGTTTGGAATTATTTGTAACCATGTTTCTCTTTTTGATAAAAAATATTGTTTAAATTCTCATTGGTCGTCTTTTCTAAAGAAAACTTTGAAAAAAAATGAAAACTACAAAACCCTCTATTAAACTTAAAGTAAGGGTGGGTTGACCAGTTAGAAAAAAAACAGGTCAGGCCACTATTTAAGAATTTACAGTATATTGCAACACAGATGTATTAACATTTACTTCAGCATTACCATTTTTAAATGCTTCCAGCAGCTTCCGGAGTTGAATGGCAGGCAGTATGTCGACAATATCTTCCTTTGTAACGTATTTCAGGTCTTCAGTGGATTCTAATGCACAGCTTTTTATCTTGTCTATTAATTCCTGTTGGATGTCTTTAAAAATGGTTGGCAAAGCTCTGAGGATGATAACCCTCAGCTCTTCATCCACTGCACTCATTGCACTACAATGAGGGGAAAGAATGGTGAAGAACGATTAGTGCCATGTCACAAATTGTGTACTCAGGGAGAGGGTAATAATCTAGTAGGTCGCCCTGATTAACACAGTAGTAACAGCTCCTGATTGGTGTGAGGGAATAAACCCCTACATCATGCAGACACAAAGCCTTATGCTTTTCAGTGATGAAATAGATTGCTGAATTATTGTGGATCAGTATCATGATAATCTTACCAACATCAAGTCCATCCTCACCCTTGCCTATAACAACAGACATGTTTTTTTTTTGTATTTTGTTCCTTTTACAGCTGCTTCATGAGCAATCAGAGTATTTGTGGATTGAAAATCATAACTTCTAACCGAATCCTTGATGCCATCATTGTAGTCCTCTTCAAAAAACTCAGTTGCTTTTTCTACAACGATTGTAGGTGGGAAGAGATTGCCAGTACTAAGAAAGGCTTGCAGAAGCTGATGTCTTTCTGCAAGACTTGAGTACACATTTCTGAAGTTATGCAGTTTTCTTGCACAGTTTGAAGTATGTGTGCTTACTTTCGAACCTCAAAGTCCACAAACGAATAAGTGGCCCAAACTGAATGATGAGCTCTGGATAATGGCTCATGTAATGATGCTTAGGTTTTAGTCGATCATGGGGAAAGGCTTGTTTTCGGGAATGCAAATATTCATCGATAAGGACTCTTAGATACCCTATCTGGCCAGTGGAAATGGCGGGTGCGCAAATAAACGCCACGATTTCTCTTAGCTGTAAAACTAGTTGCCATATCTCATTTTCAGAGGGAGAGGTAATCTTCTCTCCAATCAATAGAGGCAATAGTCTCAGTAAACACCAGTTCTGTACAGCATGGCCACTCAGTCTATCTCTCCCTGGGGTTACCTCACAGGGTTTGTCTTTTGCATCGTTACCGAGATATTTGAACTGATTGATTCTGCGATTCAATTCAAGGTAAGTAAACTGTTTGTCAACAGTGACAAGATGGCGGATATACATAGCAAGATCAGAGGCAACAACACCTTCAAACAAATCAATCAAACCAAGACAAGGAGGAAGCCCAGGCTGGCATACATGAAAGCAAGACAGGTCGTTGAACAATGAGTCAAATTTGATACCTCCACTATGAACTGTATCTTCACCAAGGTTCTGAACATGCTCTTTGTATGACTCTGGTGTGCGAGTGTTGCCTCTGGAGAGAGGATCTGCCTGAAAAGTATCTCTTTCAATTTCACAGTAGCGGCAGAAGTACTTGCCACTGAAATTTTCCAGAAAGCCTCCAATGTTGTGTGAGCTCAGGTTGTCTCCAGCAATGGCTTGCAAGATTCCTTTGCATTTCTGTCCATTAGGTAAGACAACCCCATTGGTTTAAAGGTCTTTAAGGTCTTTCATCAAGCATCCCATGACCAAATCCTGACCAAAATACTTACAAATATTTTCTCTACAGAGAAGAACAAGTTGCATCTGGTCGATACTTGACCGGTTGTGTGGCAAAAGGTCTGCAAGCGTGAGATACATGGCCAGTATTTTATGTTTCTTTTTTCCTGACCCCAGTGGGTTTACAACTTCGAATGAATCTTGATAAAGTATCAAGCCTAAAGATGACCTCTCTGTCTCTGTCATGTTATTTCTGATGTTTTCACCATCCCACACATCTTGTAAAATATCATCTGACTGGACACGGAGTTTACTTCTTCACTCTGTTCAGGTTGAATGTCCCTGACTCCTGAAGAAATGATCACTTGCACACTCTTGCCTGTCTGCCTCTGTCTCTCAAGGCCTCAGTGAATGATAATTATGTTTATGTCCGTTAATAATCGATATTAATCTATAATATTTCCTGCAAAGTGCAGGCTACTTCTCAAATCAGGGCAAACTTTTTAATAAAGTTCATATGCTGAGCTTTTATCATTCAAGTGTCCCCCGTAACCAAATAATATTAATTAACACATAGACTAGATATTAATTAAATATGTTACAGGCTGCGCTCCCCCAGCCTGCGAGGGAGAGAGAGAGACACACACAAACAGAACGGCCTTTTTGGAGGTTGCCGCCTTCCTGCATCTTTTTATTAATATGTCTCAACTCATTGCAGACCCATATAACAACCTCTACCAACGTTTGAAATTACAAGAAAATGTTGTGTGGGGTTTCTCATTTAGCAATTGTTAAGATCAAGCTGATGTTAGCTGGCAAAGAATTTACTCACTGTGTGCCTGCAGTGTTTGTGTGTCATTTCAAACTCTAGCTAATACTAATCTTACAAATGACTTCAAACTTTCTAAGTGATGGTTTTTGCCTATTATAACTAACAAAGCAGTAAGGTACTCACCTGTTTATTGTCAGGATGGTGATGGGTAACAATCTGACTTCCAACTCCACTGTCCTTCAAAAGCATGTGGTGGTCTCACCATCTTGTTCCCAAAATGCAATGCAAAAAATATGAGAAATTACTGTTTTCTTTCCTTCACGCAATAATACAGTAAAATATCGTTATAAACCGTTATAAAACAGGGTTGTCCTGTATTTAAACATAACACGATTTTACCGTTGAAAATTGCTTGTAAATTTACAGCAATTCGTAGAGCGGGGAATCTTGGCTTTCACCTAAAATTCTCGGTCTAAGTATATCACAGTCACTCAATTTCTATATCAAATTAAAGATTAATTTCTTCACAAATGTATAATCTTCAGATTTGTTGCCCCATCACGGGGTATGTTGTCACACTATGCGGGGTAAATTGTCACATTATATTTTTAACAAATAATAACATGTATCACTCTTATTCTTGCATTTGAAAGTCAGATTTATTGAAACAGCTGTTTTCAATGCCAGGGCTTCATCAGTGTCAGTGCATAAAAAACAATGCAGACCAAAAAACCGAAAAAACTACAAATAGCCTAAACACAAACAAATTCATCTTGAACTATATCTTTTTTTTAAACTATTTTTTAAATTCTAATTCAACACGTTTAAATACATTTTCAGTGACGTAACAGTGTCTTATATTTTCAAAATTTCAAACCAGGTTTATCCCATAACTAACCCTTGATATATGTTTCTTTTTCTGATGTTTTACAGATACTGAAGTGTGTATTTTAAAGGAGAGTTGCATCTTACCCTGCAGTTTTAAACAAGGTGATAAAGTACTGGTCCACTGGATCCAGTTGAAGGGAAACACTCTTGTCCAATCCTACTACTCTAATAGGGACCAGTTGGAACGTCAGGACCAGCGCTTCAAAGGCAGGACATCGCTGTTTCAAGACCAGATCTCCAAAGGAAACGCTCACTCAGGCTGACAGGGGTGAAGCTTGAAGACCAGGGCAGATACAAGTGCTACACCAGCACCACCAACGGCAGCAATGACTCATTTGTTGACCTAAACTTGGAAGGTATGACATCCATGGTGATGCAGAAACATCAAACAACAGCAAGAATTGCCTTGTATACAGATCAACCACAACATTATGACCACATGTGCAATCTAGTGCAATCAAAATCAGGTCTACCATAAGTTCTTCTTTAAAAAGCTTCTACATTGGTTGACATGTTCAGACAGGTGAACATTTTACTTTTTATTTATAATTGAGATCATACTAGGTGGTGTAATGGAGTGCATTATATTTAAATATGTTCCTAAAATTTGGTCCCCACTTGAATGTTAATGGGGTGGTCAAAATATTTGAAAATATTCAATTTAACTCAGCACCACTACCTGCTATGACTTCAGTATTATAAACAAAGTACAATTATCACCTTTCTGACCATGTCAGCGAAAACTGAAAATGTAGAAGCTTCTTAAAAGTAGAAATTATGGTTGAACTGTTTCATTGGGATTGCAATACATCATTATCTTTTGACTGGTTGGTGTATATTTACATTGCAATAACTACTGTAGTCAACCTAAATGATCATTTAAACTTCATTCTGGCTGTACATGTCCTGCACACACACCTTTGCCTTCATTTAGTAGGACTGGATGTTTAAATCTAATGATGTACCAGAATGGTTTCAAATTTGATGTTTTCTAACAATTAGATTTTTTCTCTCTGTAACAATAGATCATAACTTTAATATTTAGCATGAACCTTAGCTTGACATACAAAAAGCTGATATTGTGTTGCTAGATACAGTAAACATTGGTACTTATCGCTAGCTCTGACAAGCTAAAGGAAAACTTCCAAGTTTAAGATAACCATCACATGGCCTGTTACACAGTGAAGTTGAGTAGACTAGTTTGTTAATCTGTTTTGACATTTTGTTACAAACCTGTTTGGTTTTTTTTTGGAGCGGCAACACAAGTAGCAAAGAGACTAACAGGACCGCTATAAAGAAAGTATTTTACATCATAAATGTATTGAGTTCTATCACAGAGTAAATGCTAAATACACAACATGGATTTAGTGAAACCTTATTTTCTCCATGCCACAATCTGTAGAGTTCTGTAAGATAAAACAAACATTAGTGAATAACCTTCCACACCACCCAGCTACAGGAAACTGATACCATTTTAATGGAAGGCTGTGTTGAAGGTCATCTGGGTGATAAGGACGCTTGTCCAGTAAATGTGGTCTCTGAGCTTGTGGGAAAATAACAGTGATAGTTAGAAAAGAACTGAAAATAATCAACAGCTTTCAGTGATGAAATAGTTTTTTTAATATCTGTGTTTCCTCACTTGTTGAATACTGTAAAACTACAATTCAAACTAAAAAAAAGAATTGACTGTGCATGGAAGAACAAGCATTTGCACAAATAAGCTTAACTCTTTTGTTATTTATAT